GAGTGCTAAAAACACTCGCAACAATGAGATATTTTTCCATTATGTTTATAGGCTGACTGCCAATTCATTTTTAGTCCTTCTGGTCTGGCAGAGGTTACAGGACTTTGATGCTGACTGGGCTTCTGATTTTGCATCTGTGTCAACCACAACTGCTGAACAGCATTAATACAGACCAGTGAGTTTAGCTCCATGTTCCAGCCATTTAATTATACTGTTTCTTTGTTCTGATGTGGAGAACATCGATATTTAAATATCCTTCCATAAGGACATATTTTCAATTTAAGAGGCTGCAACAGGCTACAACAGAGTTTAATCTTGGATTCATCAAATATCTGGCATTTTTCTCTGAGACATGAGAGTGATTTCTTCTCTTGTAGTTTGTAGCCAATCTGTTTCTAATATATCACTTACCTTTTGCAGAAATATAGTGTCCCATTATCTGACAAGACGATTAATACACTGTAAAGATTATGTGTTTACCATTGCCTATGGGGGTGAGGCACATAGTGTGCTTAAATAATATCAGTATTTTTAACTGGACTTAATTTTTTTCTGTTAGCTACAGCAAAGACACAATCCACCATTCACAATTCAGCATTCCCCAGTGCACTCAGTGCATTGCTCAGCCATGCCCATCTGAGTGAAACAAAAAACAAACTGGTATCGAGTAGGACCACAGTGAGGTCAAGACTAAACACACCGGAGAATTTCACAGATTAGGAAACCTTCAGTTTTATTAACATATCKCCGTGTGACCATCTCCATCACTGTGTGACAGAGACGGCTGCAGCACAGGCTTCTGCAATGCTATTCCAAGGTGGTGTTTTCTCCCTAGGGAAATGTGCTTGCACACAGACAGCAAGCTGAGAGGGAGAAGGAAAAGGTTTCTGCTGTCATCGTGCGAGTGAAGCAAAGAGCAGACTACATTAATAGCAGACTGAGGACTTAAGAAGGAATGAATTTCTCCTTGGCTGGGSTTCCATTAAGTTTTGGCAGCACTGGGAATCTGCTACTATTTTCCTCAGCTGTTGCTGTAACCTGGAAAGAGCTCCCTACACACGTGCCCTCCGGCCGCCTCACTTCAAGGTCATACTGAAGGGAAGATCAGCTCTGCATTRGGTCATTCAACTTATTGAAAAAGCAGAAAGGCAGTTTTCTTTAYGAAAAGGCTTCCTACACAGTAGACTGGCATTTTCCTAAATATTCCTAACAGGGCATAGATAATCTCTTTTTTTTTTTTTCTTTTTGCAGATTGAAAACAGAATTTGGCATTCTGCCTGAGTGCACATTCAAACGATCATGTTTAAATTGTTATTAACCTCCTCAAATCCATTTCATTGAAAGTGTAGAAATTATGTATAACTTTATGAACTAACAGCAATTTGTTTTTTTTGTATATCACCTTTTTTTCATTATCTTTTGGCAAAATAAGGTGACTACAGTGGGGAAAACTCAGAAAACACACTTTCATTTATTGGTAGTAACACAAAATGGCATCTGTGTTTCGAACTGTGAAATATATTGACAGATAGTAATGTCCATGCTCATGTACAGAAAAGGTAAAGCAATTTAACAGTTAAGATTGCAATATCCATATATCATTATATTGAGATATAGCTTATTGTAGGACTGTGGCAGCGGAGACTTAACAATATAATATTTCACTTATTTTTATAATTACTGTGAATTTGGTTTAAATTCTCTTCCCTGATATTCATGCTATGCTGCATGAAAATGTACACAATATTTTTTTATTAAATACAACTAGGGGATTGGGTCTGTTTTTCACATTCTTTCTAATGTTACTAGCAATTTAATATCATTATACAGAGGCTTTTTGCTATGTAATGGTGGAACGCCCACGGCTCAGAGTTACTCTGCTGGTAGCAGTGAATTTTAACCATAAAACACAAGTTATTTGCAGCAAGAGGAAATGTCCTCTGACAGCTGACAGGAAGTTAGGGACGTGGAGGCCTGAGGAAGGAATCCTTCTCTTTCTGTGGCCTGCCTCACACAGAGAGGATCCCCATGCACAAGACTATGGCCACTTCCAGAAAGGCTTTAGGTTTCTAAAACTGCCTCGCTTAGTTAGAGCTGGCACTGCCTCAGGCCACCCACCCCGAAAGCACCACTGAGTGACTGCTAACACTGAGGAGACACCTCAACTTGCTAACTCCTTTCCGGAGCAGACCTTCCCGTGTGGCGACCGTCCTGCACTGACTGGACGGCCTCACCACAGGCCTCCTTCCAGCTGCAGACATAGCTGGGGCCACATGCTGCACAACACAGCATTAAGAACCCAAAAGTGGCCCATTGGGAAGGCACACAAGCTGGGAACTGAGATGTTAAAAGTTTTTCAGTCAACATATATAYTAAGAAACTCTGCTGCCCCCAGAGACACAGATAGGTCCTGAAGATACCTCGTCCCGTCCTGCAAGCAGTACTGTGTGTCACTGAGGGGGCCCCCACAGACACGAGACAGCAGCTAGTTCATACCTAAGTTCATACCTAAGTTCTGGCAACCTGTGGCTGCCAGAGGATGAAGGATGCTGCCACCGTTGCAGTGCCGCTTCCCTGGAAGTTGGAGACCTAAGTTCCATCCTCAACCCCTCGGTGTATAAGCATAATGTGGCACTGCCAGCACCCACAGTGCCTTGTCCAGCTCMGCTTATCAATCAGAGGAACCTGGTTAGGCCGCGCTGTGGTGAGCTCTGGACCCCACTGGAGGCGGGTGCCCCCTCAGAGCTCCCACTCTGCACTTCAGGTGCATCCCAACGCTCACCAGTTCTTGGTGACTCACTGGGTCTGGGCGTCTCCCCATGTTTTTTCATCAGCCTCGCCATACCTTATGCAGGGACCCCAGTAGTGAGTTCTGGGTTTTGACTCCAGGCTGGGATGTGCACAGCCCAAATGYGAGCGCTGCAGTGCCAGAGCCCTCCTTGGAATGGACTCTAAATGCACAAAGCTTTGAGTGCTGCAGGGTATTACCTTGGATCTCACACATCCTTTCTCTAACCTTGTGCCTGTGTTATTCACTGAGCTCTTTCAATAACTGAAATGCCAGTGACTAGGAGAAGAACGTTTTTCGATCTGAGAGGATTTAAAGTAGCTCAAGTGACAGTGCCCTTTTCCTAAAAGTAAGCCAGGCATTCTTCCAGCAAATCCCCCCATCACAGAGTAGCAGCATTGTAGAGGACTGCCTGCCATCTCTAATGCAGATAGCACTGGGTTTCTAGTTTTTTTGGAGGTCCATGTGAATATGTAAGTGTGCAAGATGACTGTGATGCAATAGGAAYACTACACTGAGGATACACCAGAGTGCAGAGTATCTGGGACCATATGCTGAAATTATGTGTATTTAGGATYGTGAACAGTTATTGATGGGTGGAGGGATGTTTTGGGGAGTTGTAGGTAGGGAAGCCCTGCTGTGGGCTCCACTCTTTCCTGGCTTGTGCATGTTGACAGTGGGCACATGCATAGGGGATTTAGCTGAGGTTGCTTTTTTGTCGTYGTTTTTGTGAGGAGAAATGGAATGAACTGCTGTGTATTTGTGAAGGTATCAGAGTGCTGCAGTTTCTTTACTTGGATGATCTTCTGCATATGTGTRCTGAGCTCTGGAATGGCTACACTTCAGGAGCAAAAATGTGTGTAAGAGCAGAAATAAATGGGCTGATATTTTGACKCTATAAGCACTCCTTGTTGAACAGGCACATGAACATTAGAATGGCACATATATCTACAGTCCCAGTTCTTTATTACTTGAGTGATTTCCTCTTTTCACTGAACAGACTGACAGGACTGACTTGAAAAGAAAAAGACATACAAAGGAAGATAGGTCATTTCCTGAATTTCCCTTTTTTTTTGCCACCTTAATGAGTTAAAATGTCACCAAGAAATGAAGGGATCRTATCTCGCTCACCTACACTGACCTGCCTGTCTATCTCCCAGCATATTTTATAAGCTGTACCCTCATACAAATTCATTAACAGCCTCATAATAACATTTCTTAGCAAATCTCACACTTTCTTTTTTCCAATTTGAAATGCACATGTGAGCAATCCTCTGTATGCATTAGTGCATACATGCTGTTCTTCATACCTCACAAGTTGTCTCAAATCCCTCTCTGAGATGTGCACAGAAGTTCAGCAAAATTTCAGCATCCCATTTCTGCAGCCAAATCTCTTGGCCATCTTACCCTGTCTGTGACTCCTTCACCAGCACTGTCACACTGAGGAACTCACATTACTCTTCTAATTTAAAGATTTTCCTATCGGAGTGGCCAGATGTTTTAAATAATGTTTATTTCCCTTTTAGTGACCCGATTAATCTATTGCTCTGAAGCATTTCTTACAAGCTTAACACCATCACATGAGAAAGATGAATGTTGTCATCCCCATTGTACAGCTGGGAGAGTTGCTGCACAGACATACCAAGCAATCCACCCTGGGTCATACAGTGAGTCGGTGGGAAAGCCAGCAATAGAATCCATAAGTCCTGCATCCAAGTTCTCTAAGTGCCTTGACTAGTCCAGATTCCCCCCTTAACACCCTTGTCAAATTATTTATAGGATATGTATTCATATAGTCAGTAAGACATCAAAATTTTCTAATTATATCTAGTCATGTCAAATGACAATTATGCCCTTAGTTCAGTTTGCCAGACAATGCTTTGCCAAAGAAGGTTTGCCAAAAATGTTTTGACCGAAGAAAGAGTAGGCATCTGCAGCATCTGCAGACTAGATCCTATAAAATGTCCCTGTGACAAGTCTGCCCTGTCTCCACAGAAAGCTTCAAGGTAAGTGTATGGGGTCTGCAGGCTTGCAGAAAGAGGATGGCACTCTTACGTTCCACTGCATTCCTCCTGCCTCCAATATTTATTTACAGGAGAGGACTGTAATTTTCAGCTTAGGCTTTAAGTCTGCTTTCAAGACATCTGCATATTTTCACTTTGGAATTCTGTGCAACAATAAGTAGACAGTTGCCATTTTTATTTTACAGYACTGTTCAGCTGCCAGTCTGCAAGCCACCTGCCTGCTATCACGAGAGGTAAGAAATTGATTTATTAAATCTAAGAGGAGTGAGAAAGACCATTTTTGGATGGGATTTTTGCATGGCTGAGTGAGTAGTCWCTATTTCACTTTATATTCATAACCAATGTGATCAGAGTAGATTGATGATGGCACGGCTRTCCATGGCTAATACCCTTGCCACTTACTATGGCTAGTAAGGCTATCAAGTGGCTGAGTCTGAAGCTTTTGACCACTTATGGCAGACTAGAAAATCATCTGCAGGCTATTMCTGGCTTCTACTTAACTCTGCTTAACTTCTGCTTAACAAAGTGAGGTATACTGGCTTTAAATCTTCGCTACAACAGCAAAATAAATGGGCAGAAGAAGAAAAAATAAAAAATCATACATTTGATATTGAAGCAATGCATTGTTTTGCCCAAATATTTTGTCTGAGGAATTTAACTATGAAATTAGAGAMGAAAGTGCTATAATGTGAGCAGCAAAACTCTGGTGGTCGTCTCTGAAAAATGTGATGGTCCATCTGCATTTCCCTTGGTAGTCTGCATATTCTCTGCTTCATAAAAAAATGGAAGCTTCAGACCTCTGTCTTTCTGTAAGGCAGTGCCTGGTCCTGCGGATAGAAATAAATAATTGTTATGTTGATAACTCATTTTAGTACAACATATCATAATTGTTGTTGTAAATTTTATGCATCTAAATGAACAGGGGAGAAATAAGTATTTTCCTGAACTGCTCTCTCTCATTTCCTCGAAAACAGTCATTTCTTAGGGAGACTAATAATGGTTTCTTCATTTCAAATCCCTTACTTAAGTTTTGAACCTTTGCATTTAACTTCTTTTTATTAGTAGTATATATTTTTAGAAAACTAAAAAGAAATAACTGGAAAGGATCTGTGTCAGTATATTTAGGATAAGCGTTACTCCTCTTTTCGTAGATACTCCCTAATCCATGCAATGTCGATGTTTACACTTGGATTCAAGACTTCACTAAAATTATAAAATAATATTATTATCATAACTGTAAATGATTAAAGACTGAAACTGGCATTCAAGTGTGAAAATTGCCTATAAGATAGTCTTAACACTGAAGTACACTGTACTTCTGCCCCAGTTTCCTGAATTGGGCTTAATAGAAAGGCATTCATTTGCAGTCATGACATTATAATTGTTTCAAGCAAGTTTTCAAAGGGTATCTAGATAATTCAAAATAATATCAAGGTTCTTTTTCTCTGTGCTACAATTCCTAATTACCTTCAATGGCTACACCTTATTTAAAAAGTGATTTTGTGAACCTCARCCAAAAAACTCCAAATAAACATTTTTCACATTTTCCCCAAAGGATAAAACTTAGTAACGAAAAAATACACAGAAGTATTTCCAAAGACTTTGAATAATGTTAATAACTTTCTTTTGCCATGTTGTCTTCTAGAAAACCCCTAATAAAGTGCAGCCATGTCTTCAGACTCTGAGATGGCTGTTTTTGGGGAGGCAGCTCCTTACCTCCGAAAGTCAGAAAAGGAGAGAATCGAGGCCCAGAACAGACCTTTTGATGCCAAATCGTCAGTATTTGTGGTACATGCCAAAGAATCCTTTGTGAAAGGCACAGTCCAGAGCAAAGAAGGAGGAAAAGTCACGGTCAAGACTGAAGGTGGAGAAGTAAGTACAATACAAGCTTCAGAGCAGCATTTACTTCTCCCTCCGAGCTCTTAGCTGACATGCATGGATCTCTCATTTCCTTGGCAGACTCTGACCGTGAAGGAAGACCAAGTCTTCTCCATGAACCCTCCCAAGTATGACAAAATCGAGGACATGGCCATGATGACCCACCTCCATGAGCCYGCTGTGCTGTATAACCTCAAAGAGCGTTATGCAGCCTGGATGATCTACGTAAGTACAGGCCTCGGTCTCCTCTCAAGCAGCTAGSAAGAAGCGCTGCCCCAAGGCAGGTGGAAGCCAACTTGCTGTGTCCTGTCCTTGCAGACCTACTCGGGTCTCTTCTGTGTCACTGTCAACCCCTACAAGTGGCTGCCGGTGTACAACCCGGAGGTGGTGTTGGCCTACCGAGGCAAAAAGCGCCAGGAGGCCCCTCCGCACATCTTCTCCATCTCTGACAACGCCTATCAGTTCATGTTAACTGGTGAGTGACTCCATCTGTCGCAGAGGGATTGTATCATGAACGGATATACTACTGCAGGAATATGGTGCCACCTTGTTTCAAAGCTTTCATCATCCTCAAGATACATGTAATTGTGAGCCTACACATTGCTTTTGCTATTTTAAATGAAACACATCTCTACACTTTTTCCCTTCTTTATATGAAAGCCAAGAATTTGAAACAGCAAAAGAGAAACTGAGAGAGAAATTGAATCAGAAGAACACATTCCTTTCCTCACTCCATTTATAGGTTTTTTGTTTATTTTGGGAATTGTTTAAAAGTAATCCAAATAAGCTCTGAAATTCTTGGTATGTTAGTTACTCCTTATACTTGAGCAATCATACTGTGTTTTTTTACTTCAGAAATGTTGTCACATTTTCCCAACAATCTTGAAAACTAAAATGCTGGAATCTTTTAGGAGGTCCCAGAATCTTGGATAAAGATTTTTATTTTTTGCCACTTCTATACTTATTTGTTCTTGAGAAAGACATTTTCCTCATATATCCACAAAACAGAATTTGGTGAAAGAAAGTTAAAAATTAGATGTTTACAAGCCAAATGCCTTTTGGTAGTTTGAGGGAATCAGGTGAATATAACTCACCTATKTACTCTGTTGAAAACCTAATTTTCATTGAAGGGACACCATGAAACATTTCCATTATGCTTTAAAAACCTTAAAAGTTTCCACTGTGATATGGAATGACTATTAAAATACCGATACTTGATTGACTGGCTTGACTTCTCTTTATTTTTCTCTTTGGTACTCCGTGGCAAGAGAACAGAGGATAACTAAACGCATCATTTTTGTTTTGTTCAAAATAAGCTCTTTATGCTCAAAAAGCTCTTTATGTTCAAAAATCTTCAGCTACCTAGGAAAGCTACAGGGAATGTAAAGAGAAATGGTAAAAATATGGATTAAAAAACAATAACCCCTTCCTATCACAGTTTACTATTCTGTACTCATCAGCAAAATGAAACAAAGGGATGAAAACAAAAACTCCTTCATAAATCTGAATTCTGTCAAAAAACAATCAGCATTTTCTAAAGATGGAAACAAATGGCAATTCTTCTGATTCTTTTAGAGATACATGACTACTTTTCACTCTTTCTGTGTTATGTATTGAATATTAATTAAGCCCTGTGCTTCTTTCTCTATCACAGATCGCGAGAATCAGTCAATCCTGATCACGTACGTACATTCCCTGCTCCAGTTCCCAAAGGGTGGCTCTGTGCCAGGGGACCTGCTGCCTSACCATACGTTCTCTGCTTCTCTCTCYTTTGCTTCCCAGYGGAGAATCCGGGGCAGGCAAGACTGTGAACACCAAGCGTGTCATCCAGTACTTTGCAACAATTGCAGCGAGTGGGGAGAAGAAAAAGGAGGAGCAGCCTGGCAAAATGCAGGTGATGTAGAGAGAAGGAAGGGACTTCCCTGTAAGTTTCCTTTACTACAACAGTCACATGAATTAAGCACTGTAAGTCAACAATACTTACTGTGTTATAGGGCACGCTTGAGGATCAAATCATCAGCGCCAACCCCTTGCTGGAGGCCTTTGGAAATGCCAAGACCGTGAGGAATGACAACTCCTCACGCTTTGTAAGTCGCTCAACAAAAGGTTCCTGAATAATAATAAACAGGAGTCATCATTACTTGTAGTTCAACCTTTGATTTACGGTAACTTCAGACTTTGAAATCAGTAATTCTGTGAAATTAACCTACTATTTTATAGTGGGATGCAAATTTAAATACAAGAGCACATATTTCTTCTCCCATAAAGCATTTCAGTATGAAACAATATCTTTTTAACAATTAAAATATTTTCCTGTCCATTTATGAAAGAGAGAAATAAGGAAAGAGAAGGAAAGAGACAGAAAGAGCTATCTGAATCTCAGAACAATCTTTGCTTGCTAGAAGTTTATTTATTGTTGTTTATTTTATACCAAGAGAAACTTCAGCCAATGAACTGGTTAAATGCATATTCTTTTATCATTCAGATGAATGCTTTCTATATGCAGGATATAGTTAGAAGAGCATAGAATAAGATATAAATGGCCTTATGAAATCCATCCATTCCTTTCCATCTGTGCATTTAACATAAACAAAATGCACAGCTGTGGCCCTGTTGGCTGTTTTCACATTCACATTTCACATAAGACTTTATCTTAATGTTGGAAATTTATCTGGCTCTTAAGAAAATACATCTAATATAAAATTTTATATAAAACACAGTAAAGTAAATGGCAAAACTTACCAGGTATACTTTTTGTAGTAAATTTTAAAATAATTTTATTTCCTTAAAGGGCAAATTCATCAGGATTCACTTTGGTGCCACAGGAAAGCTGGCTTCTGCGGATATTGAAACATGTAAGACACTTTCCTGAACTTTTCATAATCCCTCTATCCTATCTTTTCACTCAGCTATCTATCCTGTCTTCCCTGCTTTTCTYTGTGCTTTCTCCGTATTTACTCTTGCTGTTTCTTCATGTTTCTAATTATATTTTTCCCCTAGACCTTCTGGAGAAGTCCAGAGTCACTTTCCAACTGAAGGCGGAAAGAAGCTACCACATATTTTATCAGATCATGTCCAACAAGAAGCCAGAGCTAATTGGTAGGATGGATTGCTAAGTTTTCTTGAGGAAGATCACTGAGTTCACTCTTTCATCTGAGCTGTCTAGTTGACGAAACTAAGCCTGCATGATTCCTCTTCTTGCTTTCAGACATGCTCCTCATTACCACCAACCCATATGACTACCACTTCGTGAGTCAAGGTGAGATCACTGTTCCCAGCATCAATGACCAGGAAGAGCTGATGGCTACAGATGTAAGTAACACTCATACGCCTTGTATCTATTGTTATATTTCCAGACAGAGCTTTTATTTTATTGTTTCTATTGCAGAGTGCCATTGACATCCTGGGTTTCACTGCTGATGAAAAAGTGGCCATTTACAAGCTGACGGGGGCTGTCATGCACTATGGGAATTTGAAATTCAAGCAGAAACAACGAGAGGAGCAGGCAGAACCTGATGGCACAGAAGGTACTAGCAAAGTTTSCTGTTCATCTCAGTAGCAATAATTTAGTCTTCGATGGCTTTGATTTTACATGAATAGTCAGAAAACTGAGGCAACAAATTCTCTTTCATAATGCTACATTATAGGGATTTTGCCTAGGAAAAAGGGAACACTTTATTTCTTTTTTTAGGAGATGCAAACCCGTAAATATAATCACATAGTGTATAATATAATCACATTGTTTGTTTCTTATTTCTTTAAGTTGCTGACAAGGCTGCCTACCTGATGGGTCTGAACTCAGCAGACCTGCTGAAGGCCCTGTGCTATCCCCGAGTCAAGGTCGGGAATGAGTATGTGACCAAAGGTCAAACTGTGCAGCAGGTAACAAACACCTTATGTGACTGGGAACCTGTACCTGGGAACAGTATTCCATACTGTGTTGTTACTTATTTTTCTTTTTCTCATTTCTTCCTTGTTTTAGGTGAACAATTCAGTGGGTGCTCTAGCAAAGGCAGTATATGAGAAGATGTTCTTGTGGATGGTTGTTCGTATCAACCAACAGTTGGACACCAAACAACCCAGACAGTACTTCATTGGTGTGCTGGACATTGCTGGCTTTGAGATCTTTGATGTAAGGAAAAGSAGCTTGAAAGCAGTTCTTGGAAAGGGAAATTGAAACATTGAGGACTACGAAGCAATTTTTTTTAAAGACTTAAGAAATAATCATTTTTAAATTTCTAGAAAAAAAAACCCTTCATTTTCTGGAGCACAGAATAGCAGCCTCAGAAGCCTCCTTAGCACAAAGTCATTTCTTTGCGTGTAGAATTATCAATTAAAATTTCATATACAATAGTATTATAAGAGATTGAGCTTAGTGCTAATTATATTGGAAATAATTTAAATCAGCTAATATAAGAACTCTTAGATTTGAACTGGTACTTGGACATGCAGTTACAAATATTCAGTAGGTTGAAGATGGGGAAAATGTTTAATGGACCAAGAATAAGGGAATAGATGCTTGATCAGAGAGGACAAGTATTTGAAAAAGAAGGTCAGAGCAATGAACCATTATGTTGACTAAACAAAGAAACATTAAAATATCCTATAGATAGATTTAGAAGATTCACTGGGGACATCTGCTTTGTGATTTATTTAGTTTTTATTATTCTTTTAGGTAGGCACTTCATTGGGAAGTTACATGCAGGTCCTGCTTTTGTGCAGTCCTGATTATCAAATTGTGTTTTAAGTAGGAACGTTTATAGATAATTAAAAATGTTCAAGGAAACCATGGCAATTGTGTCTTGACAATGGATGTCTCTCTTTTTGCATTGGAAAGTTCAACAGCCTGGAGCAGCTCTGCATCAACTTCACCAATGAGAAACTGCAACAGTTCTTCAATCACCACATGTTCGTGCTGGAGCAAGAGGAGTACAAGAAGGAAGGAATTGAATGGACATTCATTGACTTTGGGATGGACCTGGCTGCTTGCATTGAGCTCATTGAGAAGGTAAATTTCTAATTCAAAATGCCCTCTATTATTACTGGAGGTTAAAAAAAAATATTAAAAGGTCYCTTCCATGGTTAATTTCATACAATCAACCTTAGGTACTGAAGCTTATATTAAAAGTGTATTAAAAGTCTCTATATTAAAAGTAGATTAATAGCTATGGAAGTGGTTCCTTAAAAAAAATAGAAGTGCATGATATTTGAGTCTGCCTTATGGAGGACATTTCTTTTTCAGAAGCATGCAAAAGTTCCCACGAGAAAAAGAACATATTTACTTAAGATTCTGAAATAAAGTCATCTGGAGGACAGATTTTTTTCTTCATGGCTTATATTAAAATTACTATAGGCCAATATAATATGCTATACTATATTCACGTTCTGACCAAATGGTCTAAGCACTATCTTAGAGGCACAATATGTTTTCTGTAATTCCAGCCCATGGGCATCTTCTCCATCCTGGAAGAGGAGTGCATGTTCCCCAAGGCAACTGACACCTCTTTCAAGAACAAGCTCTATGACCAGCACCTGGGCAAGTCCAACAACTTCCAGAAGCCCAAGCCTGCCAAAGGCAAGGCTGAGGCCCACTTCTCCCTGGTGCACTACGCTGGCACAGTGGACTACAACATCACTGGCTGGCTTGAGAAGAACAAGGACCCCCTGAATGAAACTGTCATTGGGCTCTATCAGAAATCATCTGTGAAGACACTGGCCCTACTCTTTGCCTCTTATGGTGGAGCAGAAGCAGGCTAGTTTTCTAAGATTTGTGTCTTTCCAACTTGAAAATATATGATGAACCAGAATAGCTAACATTTTTTTTAAAATTGGTTTTACAGAGGCTAGCGGTGGTGGTGGTGGCAAGAAGGGTGGTAAGAAGAAGGGCTCTTCTTTCCAGACTGTCTCAGCTCTTTTCCGGGTACAGTATGAAATTAATTATTTATAAAGTGATATGAACAGACTTAACTTTTATGAGGAACCAGTATGAACTGAGCAGAATCTAATCATAGTAGGGAAATATATTCATAGTCTTTTTCTTTTATTATTCTGCTTGAAATAAGTATATGTTTCAAATATTCTTTATCTAATGCCTGATTTTCTTTCAAAAGAACACTTTTGTTCTGTGTTAAAAAGGATTATGCTAAAATTTTGATACAGTAGAATTTCCATATTAACCTATAGAATTTAAAACTTCCATTTAATAAGAATGCATAAAAAAAGCAGCTTTGGATAAAAATAAATTTTGGATTGGATTGCTATTTTATCAGTGTTAATTCAATATATTAGTATCCTGACATCTACAGGATGAGTGTGCAGAACTAAAATTTGTTGATCTAAACTGCACACAATCCCACAGGAGAACTTAAACAAGCTGATGACCAACTTACGGAGCACTCACCCCCATTTTGTCCGCTGCATCATCCCAAATGAAACAAAAACACCCGGTAAGAAGCTCATACACAAAGAGATGTGGTACAGCTGGTGCCCTCTGCCCTGGAACATAAGGCTTTCATTTGTNTCAGCAGACCTGCTGAAGGCCCTGTGCTATCCCCGAGTCAAGGTCGGGAATGAGTATGTGACCAAAGGTCAAACTGTGCAGCAGGTAACAAACACACACATTGTGTGACACTGTGGCTTGATTTACAATCTTAACTTGCCTGTTTTTTTTTTTTTTTTTTTTTCCTGATATTTCTCTCTTTGTTTTAGGTGAACAATGCAGTAGGTGCTTTGGCCAAGGCTGTCTATGAGAAGATGTTTTTGTGGATGGTTGTTCGTATCAACCAACAGCTGGACACCAAACAACCCAGACAGTACTTCATTGGTGTGCTGGACATTGCTGGCTTTGAGATCTTTGATGTAAGTTTGATGTTAGCTCAAATATGATAGGTATCATATCATGTCTCAAAAAGGTGATTAGAGATCAAGGGAAATTTGAAATCTTTTTTTTTTTTTTGAAAACATGCAATTTTCCTGCAATTTCATATCATAGTTCACTTTTTTCTTTCTTCTTTCTTTTYCGCTTTTTTCTTTTTTCCCCCCAAAACAGTTGATTTGTACTTTTCTAAAAATGCTTCTCTAGAATGTGTCACTGCTTCTTCTCCAATGTAATGTATGACCCTATATGCAAAAACAAATATATGGGGTCCAAAAAGATGTGGCTGTTTTTTACATGCATTGCCATATACGGTATAAGTTTTCAATAGGTGCAGCTAGATATTGAAAAAAAATCATATTCACTGACAGGCAGCACAGAAATAACAAAGACACAATTCATGCAGAATTTCCAAAGAGAAAGACAGATGAAAGACCACCAAGATTTCTGCAAAGGGTCTAGAAAAAGAAAGCCATACATAAGCTTTCCTTCTAAGAAAAAGGGTGATTCCAAGTAAAAAGAGTCCATTGGATCTCTTTACAATGGTAAAGAAATATCTAAAAGATTGCAAGAAGTTAGCTTGGTCCAAGCGAGARGTGACAAGAATGGAAACATACAAGTTTGGTTTTTTGTTAGAGGAATGGGAAATTTACACAATACGACAGAAAAGAAGATGTAAATTCCACTCTGCTAGAAATAAGGCTACCAACATCTTTTTCTTCTTTGGAATTTGCTTTAAAGATAAATGATACATGTAAACAGCAGTTTGTTACCAAAGAGCAACAAAAATCTTTTAGGAAGATTGAATGGCAGTTTAAATGGCAGTTTAAATGGCAGTTTAACATCTGTGTTTTAACTGGATGTCCCTTTGTAAGATTTTGAGTGCACAGAAAAAGCCTTACAGACAATGCTATGTCTAGAACAACTGACTGGTGAGTCTTGTATTTCCATTGAGCAGTTCAACAGCCTGGAGCAGCTCTGCATCAACTTCACCAATGAGAAACTGCAACAGTTCTTCAATCACCACATGTTCGTGCTGGAGCAAGAGGAG